CTCTCTCTCTCTCTCTCTCTCTCTCTCTCTCTCTCTCTCTCTCTCTCTCGTCGCGAGCAACAAATTTTACGTGTGTGGGGCATTTTCCCATGCGAGGCCTTGACGTTTTCGTTTACGCGATCCCTGATGTACTGTACCTCCGGCAACGCCGCGCCGCGCCGCGGGCGTGATAAGAGCAGCTGATTAATCAAAACGGCGGAACACTATCGCGACGGAAGATTAGTCGCGGTAAGTGTCACATCTCGCCAGCTTGCAGCTGGAATTTCAATAATATGACGTCAATCGGAACTACCATATAATACCACGTTCCGTCGATGATGGCTTGTAAGCACGCGTCTCGGGCGAATAAACGCGCGTACCGCGTGAGATATCATATTTAATCCTGCGTTAGCCGGATTAAAATACCGCATTTGATAAACGGGACGGACCTAATTTTATACGCTTGACCATCGGACACAACGGATTTATGATTGCGAGCGATTTCTATAGTATGCATAAGTTATCGGGATTGTATTTTTTTTTATTCACCCACTGAGGATGGTTCAATGCGGAACCGACACGTTTGGGGTTTTACAATTAATTTTATATGAAATACATATATTTGATTGTAGGCACTAAAACATGTGCAATGCTTTCTGGCCATTATTTTTTTAATTCCTCGTTTAATTTTGAATTCTTTGAGCCAGTTGGATACTTATTAATTTTTATTCTTTAGCTGCTATTATTTTACTGCTGCCTCGCCTTTTGAGATGCCGTTCTAAGCTGCACTGCGGTCAAGTTTATAAATTTGTACTATTTTGTACGTCAGTAAAGATTATTATTATTATTATTGTTATTATTACAACATCGCAGAAGAGTCTTTTTTCTTATAAATTACATCTTTTGTAGTAATTTTCTAGACAACATAAAGTTTAAAATCGAGACATAAGACGTCTTAAGTATCGGTCCACAACAGGTATTTTAAGCTTTACACCGTATAAGATATTGATCAATTACAATCGATTATTCTCCTCATACTCGACTACGCGATTGCAGGTCCATTTCTTACTACTTAGAGCTTAAAATCCTCATTGTGGACCGATACTAACGTTCCTTGCTCTGCAGTTAATCTCTGTTAAAAATATATTATATAGTATAATAAATACAAAGTATTCATTATACTATGTAAAGTAATCCAC